CGATGAACAATAAGCACATTTTATTACAAAGTACAAACACCTTCAGTTGTTATAAGAGCCTTTTTCGTTACTTTTTATCATTAGCAAAATACTATTTATACCACAAAAAAGTTCCCCAAAGCGTGTGATTTTGACGAGTTTATTTTCAAATTGGAACAAAAATTAAACAGAATCGTCTTAGCTTAAACGTACTGCTTTTTGGAAACAAACTTAACGAGGAAGTTTGCCGCAGATTTATCTTTGTAAATCTTTTTAATTCACTATGTCTCTAAGTAAGGTTATAATGAAACACTCTAATCGCATATTTGGCGACTAATTTTCAGGATTTGGTCGCCAAAGGGAAAAATTTAGTGGCATTGGCGCCTGTACTAGGCGCAATTTCACGCCCTGGAATCAACCCATCTTTGCAAGCTTCTCTTTGGAAAATGCTGATCCGTGAGAATCAATGAATATTTAAATAGAAATGAAAGAGAAAAATGCTATCATTGAGCTACGTGTTTCATGAATAAAAAGCAGTAACTTTTCCAGTGACATGTATTTTTATGAAAATCCTTCCGTAAATAACTTCGGTGAAATGCATTCGTTAAAAACAATTAAGCGTGGACATCCAAAAAATTTTGGCGAGAACATTTATCTACTAAATAGTCACTCCCTGATGAAATCAAGCAATTTAATTCTTCAACGAATTCGTTACTTCTAATATCCTCAAATCAATTGACTATTGAATACTTCCATAAAAACTAGGTTTCCATTTTCGTCATACCCCCGCCAGGCAACGAGATAAGGTGGAAGGACGCAGAAAACAGTTTCTGTACTTTGATGAATAATTCTAAAATACTCACAGGTCAATCGTATTCAGCACTGTTTTCAACATTAACACATGTACGTCCCAATATGCGACATAAAATCCAAACTGAAATTGTTGCTTCTCATACATCGAAATCGACGGAGAGTCCATTATAACCAAAGAATATCTTTCAAATTACAACTTTTTTATGAGAAAGGTCTCTAATGCAACCAATTTCAAATCAGTAACACGGAAAATAAATGGAAAAGCGCACAATAAAACTACCCACGAATGAAAATGAATTGCCACACTAATTTGTGCCCGTGTTATTTCAATTTTTTCAGTCTCCAGAGCTGAGTCACTTTTTAATTAAGCTAAGGTTTTTTGTCGAATTAGATAAAAAAGTTGAAATTTTGTAAAAAATAAAATTGGTCAGGGAGTATTAAACTCATTAAATGATCTTAAGAAGAATTTCATATAACAAGCAGGCAGCGTGTTTACAATTTATCAAAAAAGTTTCTATTTTCAAAATGATCTTTAGATCATGAGACCTAACAGAAAATGATGGAAAAAAAGGATAAGAATTTTTGACGCAAGAAAAATGTGAATTACCAAGCCCTTAAAAGTACTAGAGTTTAAAATTGAATTGAGAAACAATTAGGGTCCAGATTTTTCTATTTTTTTTTTACTTAGTTCGGTAAAACCGACCGTCCTTTGTCGGCTAACGATAGAAACTTGCTATAGAATAAACGCCTTTCTATCTTTGAATATTATCTGACAATCAAATGACCTAATTTTTTCCTTTTCCTTCACCTCCATTTTGAATAAAGATCAACAAAATAAAATACAACATCATGCAAAAAAGTTTCTACCTTCAGACCATGTCTTACGGTTACAGCAGATGTTTTGGAGGTGTCGCAATTGGGAATACTAGAATAATGTCATGACAATTTGCATCCGATTTTGTAACGCCAGCGTGTAATAGAACATCTCTAAAAATGGCACTGCCGAATTCATTCTAACTATAAAGCACTGACATGTATACTCATAGGAGTATAAGACAAGTTAAACTGTTGTTATGTCATGATCGCAGCCTACGCGGTTATGACTAGATATTTACTTAACAGCAATGTTTTAAACATAGAGAGTTTGATTCATCAAAGTAACAGTACTGTAAACTACTGATAACTACCTCAATTAGAAAGAAATCAAAGAAATTTAACAAACGAATAGATTTAATTCTTTGCTGGCAGTTTTCGGTAAAATTTCCGAACAGTCCCATACTAGATTGTGCATTCAGTTCTTAGATAGAGAAAACAATGACAAAAACAGTACCTTGCCCGTGGGAGAACAGATTTGTTTTACAATAGTGTGGAGCTGTGCGGAAATTTTACTCAGTTTTCCTTCACTTTCTACGTCTCAGTTTGTTTTCACCAACAATCATTCGTTAAATCCAGGTTTCAGTTTTAAATGCAAATCATAATTACAAGTGTAGAGTTGATTTTTTATGAAAAATTAGGAAACTAACCTAGTTAAGAGTTTTTTTTCAGTTTTCTCTTCCCTTGGGTTTCTTGATGTTGAGATGAGCTCACCATATACTTGACGCTACTGTAAAGGACGGAAAAAGATAAATATAATGTGATGTAATTTCTAGTATAGTTATTTGTGCATTATGATTATCAATCCGGATCGAAAAATTCAATAGTAAGCTTCTACATTTTATAAAAAAAATCTGTGGTATGCAGGAAAAGTTTTTAAATTCAAAGAACGTCTGAAGATCACCTTCTATTTGTTGGGCGAGATTTGAGGGTTGCTGAACCAGCAAGATTATAAACCTGACATAAATATCTGCATATGGTGACAAGTTTAGATCAAAAACGAAGAGATAAATAAATAAATATGCGACCAATGTATTAAGAGTAAAGTGCGAATTTTCGCTGCTATCCCTAAAGTCACGTGGCTCAAAATGAACTGTTATGGCGGCTGCTATTAAACATTTGTCTTACTGTGTGTTATCTACCATAAAATTGCTTCCACTTTTAACGTTGGTTTATTTGGTTCTCAAGGGCAAAAACTAGAAACGCTGTTTCTCCGTAAAAAAATTAATTGTTAAGTTATTTACCTTGAGAAAATTATAAACAAAATGACAGCATTCATCAATCACATCAATCCTCGACGACGAATTTGAACCACTCCTTCAAGCAACCTCGAAGAAACACGCGTCAACTTTCGAAGAATGGATGATACCTGAAATAATGGGGTTGAAATAACGCGTTTCCTGATCCCAGAGTTGCTGAATAAGATTCTTAAATTTCCTGCAGTTCGTAAGCTCTTTCCACGTGCAAAACTGATGGAGCATGTAAATATTGATATCCAAGATCATTTGTAATTTAAATGAAATTTCCGACTTTGAAATGCGAACCGAAGATCATCGATAATTTCTTCGGTAACATTCGCTCAATTGTATGACGAATTATGGGTGCGTACGTACGTGCGTACGTATGCACGTACGTACATGCGTTGTTTTTAGATATCCGTTGTTACTTATGCTTTACTTAGTTTACTTATTCTTGACTTATTTGACGCCGGTTACTTACTTTGCAGTAAAGCAGTGACACGAGGAGTTAACAAGGGAGCCAAAGAAGACTTTCGTGCCGCCATGGAGAGAGAGTCAGTGGTAGTGATGAAAGCTTTGAACCACTTCTCAAAGTACAGAGGCGGCGACTCGTAGAGACCTATGCGTGGGAAAGTTCACGCTGGGAAAGCCCAATACGCATACTCATATGTGCGTACATGCGTGACAGCACAAGTGAGACGCACACTCATGCGCACAAAGAGGATCAGAAGCAAGCGGTGGATCAGAAGCAAGCGGTAAACTGCGGTACCGCGACTCATGCGACTCGCGACGGTATCGCGACTCGTAGACCTATGCGTGGAAAGGCTCACGCTGGGAAAAAAAATCATACGCGCACTCATATGTACAATACATGTGCACATGCGTACGTGCGTGCGTGCGTACGTACGTACGCATATACGCACGTACACATGTGTGCATGTACGCATATGATGTTTTCCCACGTGAGCCTTCCCACGCAGAGGTCTCTACTAGTCGCCGCGATACCGTCACACGTCGCGGTACCGTGGTTTGCCGCATGTACGTACGCACGTGGCATGTACCCATGTGCGCATGTGCGCATGTACGCACATGAGTACGCGTATGATGTTTTCCCAGCGTGAGCCTTCCCACGCATAGGTCTCTGCGAGTCGCGATACCGCAGTTTACCGCTTGCTTCTGACCCATTTAAAAAACTAACCTCTTTGTGCGTCTCACTTGTGCTGCCACGACCGCACACAATTATGGGTCAAAACAGAATAAACACATTTTTTTTGACAAAATTGGCGTCGATTTTGCATCTTTTCCACCACTTGCGCTGATTCAGGGTGTCAGAATGTGAAGAAAAGTCCAATCAAAATCGAAAAAAATCTGGGCAGAAGCCTAGCATACGTACGTGTGTACATGTACATACGTACATACTTTACTTGGTATAGTAGGTAAAGGCAGCCAGGGGCTGATGTGGACCTAATGTCTACGGAATTCAGCTAAAACTACCTAAGTGTACTATTATTAAATCGTATCAACATTACATACTAAAAATATTAAAAATCTTGATTCTTAAAGGCCTACGGACTAAACTTCGGACTATTCAGCTAAAGCTATCCAGGTGTTCTATTATAAAATTTGTTCAAAATAACAATACTGAAGATATTTACAATCTTGATTCTTGTGGGATTAAAATTACAATACTAAAAATATTTAAGGGAGTGGGAACGTTTGCGAGAGATAAGGGTAAGTTGCCAAGCTACTGGGCCTCTGTATCTTAAGGAATTTCTGCCAATGTCCAGGTTGTATTTGGGTAGAACAAAGTGATTACTATTTCTGAAGTTACAGTGTGGATTGGCAATACTAAAGAGGTTTGCTATTTTATCTGGGGTAATATTCCTATTTACTTTGTAGATTAAGATGAGAAGCTTCTTTTCATATTGGTTTGATAATGACTCCCATCCAGTACTTTCTGAACCAAGCTAAAGAATTCAACCATCTTTTACCGTCTTCAAAGTACAAGGACAGGGAGGGGGAGTTCCATAGGCAATTGTCACTGCCCTCTGATGTAAAACTCCTATCCACGCCCTTTAAGTTAAAAGTGCATATATATAATACTTGAACGACATAGAATACATCTTAGATTTATTCTCTAAAAAACGTAGCCAAAAGGGTACAATCAAATGAAAACAGAGGTGGAAATATGAATTTCCAACATTTTAAACTATAATATAAATAATTTTGTTTTATATTCGTCGTTTAATCAGAGTCCGTTTCCTTCGGAGAAAAAACTCCAAACAGTACACACTCCAACAAGAAACGTAACAGTTACGGCAGTCACCTAAAAACAATCGGAAAGAGAAACAATTGTCAGCTTTTTATCTTCTTTTTTCTCCAAACGCGACATCATCGAGCGGCATGAGGTGACCTGAACCCACCTGAGCTATTACTGTGTGATTTTTCCAAAACATCTTTAGTTGGATTCTCACAATCCCAAATGCACACGGTAAGAAAGATTCATTATTGTTTTCTGGAGCATCTCGGCATCTGAAATGTAAGCGAAATTTTACTACCAGGGAATTGAAGTAATTGCGCGTTATGTTCTACAACGTTTTACGGTGCACGCAGTAAGAACAAGTGCAAAGCGTGGACGTGAGGTGCGTTAGAGCACAACACGGGCGCCAAGCGCAGGAAAACTCAACAGAGCGCCACGTACAGGAAACAAAGCTCGAGCGCCAAGCGTGGGAAAACATAGCACGAGCGCCAAGCGCGAAAAACACAGCATGGGCGCCAAGCGAGAAAAACACAGCATGGGCGCCAAGCACGGGAAACACAGTCGAGCGCCAAGTGCGGGGAAACACAGCACGAGCCCCAAGCACGGAAAAACTGAGCACGAGCGTCAAACGCAGAAAAACATAACACAAGTGCCAAGCGCGGAAAAACACAGTACAGTCTCCAAGGACGAGGAAAGAGTGAGATTTAGTCATTACTTGCAGTTTTACGAACGATTGTTTGAGAAAGTAGTTCAAGTTTATAAATACGCTGGACAGACAAACAGCCATAACGAAAAAAAAAAGTTAAATTTGCTCTGACATGATTCCGTTTTAAAGTTAAGAGACTCACTTTTCGTAAAGTGACGCAGCAAAGGTAAGGTTTCCCTGTAGGATATCCTCTTCATTGACACTATTCCAGTGGATTCCATTCAAAGAGTAGTTATATTCAACCATATAAGCTAAGTTGTAAACCGCCTATAATTTAAGACAAACAACGAAAATTCTTAATTGAAAATTACTATATATTAACATACTTCGTTATCGTGCTCCTTTTTTCCTATCTACTATCGCACCACTACGCCACGTTCGGATCAGCACTTTCTTCCGTTTTTTTCCTTACCAGAAGCCATAGGAAGAATCGGGCTTACGTCGTGTATTAAAGCAGTGTATGGCACCATTCCGCGTCCAAAATATGAGTGGGACGTAAAAAAAAACTCAATAAAGATTTATTTACCGACAATATATGTCAACTCAGCCGTGTAGTCAAACGATCCCAAACGACACATGTGTTACAAGAATACGGGACTGACAAACGTGACTCCTTGCGTCATACACCACAACTACCAAAACCAATATCGCCGTTATTTTTGCGCTTTCAAGAGACCCAAATGACGTCACAGGTTACAGTGCGCTGACGAAAATTGGTTAAAAAAAAAAAGAAAAGAGAGCGTCTTCGGGTGTAAACTGAGGACGAACGATAAACAACAAAAGTCCTCGGTGCGAGAATAGATGAAGTTTACCTGTGGCAGATCGTTTTTCGACGCCGCTTCTGCATACATTTCAGCAGCAAATGTGATATTTTGAGGAACAGTTTTGCCATACCAATGATTATCTCCCACTTTAATCATAGCTTTAAGGAAACAATTTAAAAAAATTGCATTTAATTAAAGCTCATTGCATCATTTCTAAGTTTTACTTTGTCAATATAAAATATGGAGTGAGGAGAAAGTTCCAGCAAATGATCAAAAAATAATCGTTCCTCACCAAACACCCAGCCCATAGCCGCTGATCGGTTATAGTAATGCCATGTGCAGTCCACCGCGGTCGCACCGTTCAGCTCATCCTGATTTTCTTCACATAACATTGCAGCATTGTAGAGAGGTACTTCCATTCCAACCTCGGCGGCTAAAATAAAGTAAACGAGCGACTGGTACCTAGAACACCGAAATCAAGAGGCCAATATTTAATCAATAAACCATTTCTTTCATCTCGTACCTAGATCCTCCGCGTAACTGAGATCCCTTGCCACTGCTTAGCCTTGGCAGGTCTGGGTACGAGACAAATATTTGTTTAATCAACACTTTTATCAAAATTTCCCAAGAGTTTGATAGATCATCATACAACCAAAGTTTTCACAACAGCCAATCGTAACAAAGGAAAATGTCGAAAGGAGCCAATGAGGGATCGAATTAAATACGTGCCGAGGGCAGTAAGTTTTAAGTTTCCACCTTATCGGTTAGGAGATAAATGCGTAAAAATGCTGTAAAATTTTACTTTGGAAAAGAAAATTGTGCTTAGCTGCCCCAACAAACAAAGATCCACATCAAACATCACGTGAGTAAAAGCCCAACTAGCAGAACTTGTGGAACGGGACTCGAACCCAGGACCTCTGGATTACGCACTCACAATTCGTCCAAGCTGCCTTCCAGCTGGAGAGGGTTTTAAGACTAATCAAACGGCAAAGTTGAAAAAAAAATTTAAAAAATTTTATTATAACTCGCCGTACATGTTCCCCTGGTAATATGCTTCTAAGCCCCGCCTCATTAACCGTCCAAGCTCAGGATTCTGTTCGGCTACAAATCGAAGATAACTGCAAAAGGAGAAGCAGTGATAAACGGAATGAATATCAAAAAAAAAATTGCGTTAACTGAAACATGTGCCACTCTACTAAGCTACTTACACAACTCCCATTGGACAGTTCCGTTCAACATACAGGCCACTACTGACCCCTTCCCCCACGGTAAGACACGACCCTGGGTGACCCTTAGTAGCGGCCTCAAACCAATACTTGAATGCCTCTTTCTGCCAAAGAAAATGAAAAAAGAAAAAAGAAACCAGAATGAGACTACATTACGTATCTCGACGTCTTTGTTGATACGCCAGCTTGAGATAAAGAGCGCTGGGGAGGCGCACCTCCCAGAAATAGGAGTGCGGGGATGTGCCACCAGATGGGCTGGCATTTTCACGGCTGGATTGACTATGATGGGGTTGCATTTCCAGTCTACTTACTAGAATGGGGTCGCACATTTTCCAGATTTTTGGGCTTAAATGTGTCTGTTCATTTTAGGATGACCTACGTAAAAGGCTTTAGAAGATATACGCAAAACAGGATGTGATTAAGTTAGGATCGCGAACATTACGTTTAACTAAAAGTGTTTAAGATGGTGTCTATAATTGGCCACAGAATACACTTTGATGGGGTAAAGGTTCTAAGAGGCCAGCAGCACTTATCAGAAAAAAAAATCAATCCAAGTATTCCCCCCCTGGAAAGAACGATATCAATACATTATCCGAAAAATACTTGACGGGAGAAGACAAACCCAGAGGTTGCCTCTTGGAAACAAAACCAAATTCTCTAAACTAATGAAGAAAAAGTAAAAGTTGGAGGGGGGGGGGAGGACTACGGATTGGATCTTGAGAGTGGATGAATCCTCGTGCCCAGCTCTCCCTTCCGTTCTCCATACCTTATCAGGAGGATGTCCTTCCACCCAGCCGTTGTCATATGACACAGCTAAGTTGGTTAGCCCATCTCTGTCTCCCTTTGCAGCTGCTCTTCTAAAGTAATCCGCTGCTCCGCTGTAGTTCTGACGCGTGTTCACCTCGTAAAAACCCAAGGCGTTTAAAGCAGGTGGAAAGTCCTACTCCAAACCAAACAAAAAATAATTTCGTTTTCCGACAAAATAATATATTTCCAGTAAGAATGTGGTTGAAAAAATATTATGGGCTGGTGAATTGGACAGAAACGATGTTGCGCAGCATAACGTCATGTGAATCACAAAGCTGTGACGTAAAACCTAACGAGAAGGTGTGGAAATTGGAAACATTTTTCTAACTGGACGACCGACTTTGCATGATTTCCTAGTGGTAACGCACCACTGTTAGCAGACACCACATGGGCTAGTAAACCAAGAGTCAAAAATGCGTTTGTACCTGTTCTGCAGACATTTGAAACAGCTTGATGGCTTCAGTTTCGTTCTGTTCCACACCATGGCCCTTTAAAGAGGAGTACAAAAATCAACTCACTGCGCTTTAACGCCTTAGATTTAAAGAAATACTCGGTTACAAAAGAGAAACTTACGATAACGTGTTGAAACAAACTCAACATTACATTGGTTTTCCTCTTTGAGATTAAAACTGAGAATCTGGTCTTAGTTTGTTTATTTCTTACCCTTAATAGGGACACACCCAAGTTATAAAGTCCCTCTGGGTCTCCTTTATCGGCTCCCATCTGATAATACTTCACTGCTCGGTTCAAATCTCTCTGCAAACCACGTTTACCATAATAATACATCTCCGCAAGCACGTTCTAAAATGACAAGTGGATTTTTAACACCGTTGCAACGGTTTTTTTTGTCAGAGGTAATGTATCGAAACCTACATGTATAATCGGGATTACTCGGAAATACTTGGGTCTTCCACAAGACGATTTTCCACAAAAGGTATTGGCATAACCTTGGAGATGTTGGACGGACATGGCAAATTCGTCTTGAATAAATGAAGTGAAAGTGCTGGCAAGCGGACTCTCGGAAAGCAGAAACGAAAAGCGTCCGTTATTGAAGCTTGCCGCTCGCGTGAACGAATAAATGCAAACTTTCTGAGGGAGTTTTAAAAACAGGAGGTCCCGTAGAGCACTCTAGAACTTACTTATACATTCGTCATTGACCAATCAAGAACGAGATATTTCGTCGAGTATATCGTTGAAGAAGATAATGTATTCACAACAAGTTCTAATGCACCAAACTAACATTAGTACCTCAGATTTTCAGGGAAAACAAACAATGTGGAAAGCTTTAAAGACAACGAAAGGAAAGGGGAGTTCTATTTCAGGGAATTAACCTTTATAAAGCTCTGCCAACATTCTCCAATGGACAAAAAATAACATGTTCATTTGTTTATTATTAAGAAACGCACCTGAGCATCTGTCAAACCATGCAAAGCCTGATGGGTAAGCCACTGGAACATGTCAGATTCATTGCCTTTGTGATTGGCTAATTCGTCATAATCATCCAGGCGGACTGCTTCCGAGTGGGTCTGGGAATAAAAACAAGTCAACAACATGACCTGTGAAGTCATCGTGCAATTCTAATCGTCACTAATTGATGAATTGGTCAAGTCTGGGTAAAACGAAGAAATATGGACGATGGTGTAATAACTTTATTTCGTCTGCGTGCACGCCATCTTCATTAGCGCTTTGGCATAAGCGTTTCTTCGCCCGCGGGAAAGTATGAAACCTTATGCGAGAGGTCTGCAAGGGGTCTGGGACAGATGATCACGTTAGTGCCAGACCCACAGCAAACCTCTCAACGACTCGTCTGAAATCTTGCCGCAGACGGAGAATCGCGCGTCTTGTAGGAGGGCCTCCTCGCGAGCTAAGCTTCGTTGCATTTAACTCACATTTATTTCCTGATGTTCCTGCAAGAGTTTATCTGTGGTCATAGCTGCTGCCTTGTAGTATCCTGAAAGGAAATCACACCTCAAATCAGGTCATGTCCAAGAAAGTAACAACTTGGTAGTTCTGAAAAAATTATCCATACTTATCGTGAACCAAAATGCTTGTCGAATATTATGGTTTTGACTTACTTCGCCTCGTGATTGGTCAAGAAACTTGCGCCATGTACTTAACCAATCAGATGCAAAACAAAAACTAATGACTACTTCGACACTTACTCGCGTTTTCCTCGCTTAGAGCCATTTACATGTATTCAATCTGAGTTCTCATCTGCTTCCTGCCATCTTTTTGTTATTTACAGCTCAAGTTACTTTTGTTCTGGATTAAAAAAACATGAAACTCGACCACAGTGCGCTCTAATTGGGAATGAACTAGTACGTTTAAAGGACACCTAAGAAGGCACAGACACCTTTCTTCCTTGATATACTTCTGTTTATTGAACAATGGTTTTGTTCCACATTGTCATACCTATAGCTATATCACAGTCTCGGTGTAATCCATCGGCTCCTATAAAGTGTCTGTAAGCTAAAGCCATTTGACTAAGGGCGTGGTCTTTAGCCGCTCCAAGCATCAAATACTTCCATCCCTGCAGTAATTGAAATAACGAACCAATCTTACTCCATGTGACATTTCGAGCATTAGCCCTTCATCAGAGCGAATGGCTAAGCTGTGCAAAATGAAAAAAAGATGGATGATAGTGTAATAGCTTCGTTGCAATTAACGATTCGCTCTGACGAAGGGCAAACGCTCGAAACTTCAGCTTAAAAAACTCTTTACGGCGGCAAATTTAAATTATCAACTCAGTTGTTAAAACCAATCATATTGTCATACTACCCCAGTGACGCAGCAACACAGTTTCTTTAGAAATTTACTCTCGTTACTCTTTGTGATGCGAGTATCTATAGAGGTAATTCCATACGACCCGTTTGATTCAAACCCTGGCGCTTTTCATCACGCCATTCCTACTCCCCCTCATCAGGTTTGAAAACGCTTTGTTCTGTTTTCATCTCTTATTAATTTGTTGTTATTCCCAGGCCCTTTTCGCTCAGTCAATCCTGTGCCCTATCTCGAACTGTGACGTCGCAAAGCCACCATTTCCCAGGCCTCACAATAACAACGAGGTAAGAGATAAAGCCTAACATGTGGGATATGCAATAGTTGAAAGAATGAAAGGGGTACAGAGCAAAATGTTGTTACCAGACCCATTTCACTGAGATGACACCATAACATAGGCTAAGTATACACAAACAACGTTTAGTCTAAGTACATAGAAAAGTAACACGTGACAGGCCATGAAAACAACACCTTAATGTTATAATCCATTCTCTTGTGGTATTCATACCTCGATTTCATGTTGAGGTACACCTAGCCCAACCAAATTCATTATTCCCATCATGTACTGTGACTTGATGTGTCCCATACAGCTAGACACTCTGAAAATGGCCAATGCCTCATTTGCTTTTGTTACATCATCAACCTGAAGATTGAAAGAAAGCATGTAGTCGTCAACTATAACTGAATTTTAACACAGAGGTTTGCACTGAGCCAAATGTTAGTGGGTCAGGTCAGATCTTGTTAGAATTGCCAAATAGCATTTTTCACCAATTTTCCAAGGGAAGACAAAGAGTTTCAAGAAAACAACCTACCAGTTTTTCATTTGCCAGCTGATATAGGAATTCTGCCATAGATATCAAGTCATTGTGATGGTGTCTCATGGCTTCACGAATAATGGCATCCACCTCTGGGGTCTCCCCTGATAAAGGAACTTTGCTTTGGATGTTTCTGTTTGAGATTGGCATAAGATCCATCAGGGATCTATGTTTGGCTGCACAGTTTTCTGGACAAATACAAAAAAACTATTTTATTCATAGTGAGAGTACATAAAAAGTGGATCAGTGGTTGGTATCCTGATCTTGTTATTGAAAGACACAGGTTCAAGGCTGGTTACTTTGATAAATTCCTTAGCCAGATTTTTCTCTCACGGTAAACACTGAGGTCAAACATCTGCAAATGTGCACTGTTTTTGATGGCTGGGTGACACTCTTTCAGGATGTCAGAACCAAGTTGTCTTAAAAGTGTTGAGTTATATACAATCATGCGAGCAAGTAAATTGCAACGTTTAAAAACAGAAGAACTTTTTTTAAGGTTAAAAAAAGTGATAAACCAACGTGAAATCTGCAACAATTAAATAAGCTTTGTGTACAAAACATCTTGATTTTTCCTTTCCCTATTCCTGTTGCCCTTTTACAAATTTATGTAAACAGTTCAGTTTTTCTTGGTTTATTTAGTGTGACAGCAGCTGTTTCAGCAGCTGGGAAAATTGATCCCATTGCATATGTCCTACATTTGATCTCTGTGTTGACTCAAAACGGGAGAGTAAATGGGTATCAGAAATCTTTAAAAATTGCTGGAAAGTAACATGTGACTTACATGTACACTGTCTGAGAGGCAAAGAATTACTTGTTGTTACCTTATGCTACAGATATTAGGATAGGCTCCCACAGCCACATTTATCCTAATCTTTTTTACTCTGTTCTAATTGCTCTACAGTTTTCCACTCTTCATTACATGTTAAATATACATAGGTAAGACCACTGGGTACTGTGGAGAATCTAGCATGATTATGTAAAAGTAAGATCAAGATTAACTGGGTCTAGCTTTATTCAAATCATCATTCCAACTATAGTACTAGCAAAAGTAAATATTTAGAACATGGGGTCTCTAACTTCAAATTATCATCAAAGTCAACATCAGCTTACCATTTTCTACTGATTCTTTCTCAATGTCCTCTAATACAGATTCATGTAAGTTGACAATCCTTTCACCACATGCAACTGAGTGATCTGTAAGGGCTGAAATTTGAATCATAATTTAAATCAATTTTTTCTCTACTTCCTTTGTTGGTGTAAATGAGGAGTGCAAGTGACTAAAGGCAATGAAAATGATGAAAAGTTAAGATTCACAAAGTAATAATGGAAAATTCAGTTTACCCATGCGGAACATGATATGATCCTTAGGGGGAGAGAAGACCTGAAACAAGAAATTTAAACCAGGATAACTGTCATAAATCAATTAATAGCTAAGTTTATCAAATTCCTTCACTCCTCATCAGTTATACAAGATATTTGCATTGGCTGAATTTCAATATCTATAACAAGTGATATATTATTACCTGGTTTGGAAATAGGAGGTGACGCCTATATATACGTGTGTGTCCAATGATTCCTTGGAAGGTTTGGGATCCCTCAGTGCCACCAAGCACCCAAAATCCTTCAGTGTCTTTGTAATTAAATGACCCATAAGGAAACCTAGGCAACAACATGTTGCATTACATTATTGACCCTTTACACCCTGTCATCAGTATGCATATTCTCCACACTGCTCTTCATACATTTCCTAAGGTGATGATAAGGAGAATTTATTTGCCAATCAAAAGTTTCCTTCTCTGGTGACCATTTCCTTTATTCTCATGACCTTAATGTGTGATTCAGGAGTGATA